AAAGTCTTCAAAAAGATAATGTGGTAGTAGTTTGAAATTTTTATACCCAGCCTTGCCAATAGGTTGTGGCCTGTTACCCTTTTGTGGAGGAGATTGTTCAGGACTCAGCACAGGGTAGAGACAAATATTTAGTTCTTGACCCCATCTGCGCTGGGGGATCATCACTAGAAGAACTGCTGCAAATAATGGAAGTTCCACTTAACAAAATGGCATCTGAATGGGCCTCTTTTTCCAAGGTACTGTCCTTTCCATCAGAATTGAGCATGTGGCATGAGCTGCATCCTTGCCTTTGGATCTTGGATAGAAATTCAAGGTTGTTTCAGGAAAAAAAGGGAACCATGGGAGTTATCTTGTTGCTGAAGTGGGAAGGAGGCATTGAGTCTGGGAAGTTTGTGAGAGGAAGGTATCACTGCTTTCTGGTAACCTGAACTCATGATAAAGTTTTACTCTGGACCTCTAAGATTATCTTTTTTAACTATCCCAGCTTTTCTATTTGAAAAATACACTGGATCTTGAGGAATAACAAGGATTTCTGCCCACTGTAAATCAAATCAAACCCATGTTTTTTTCTCTTTTTTTTTTTTTCCCCTCTAGTGGAATGCAGTAGCTCTGTGGGCATGGGACATTGTGGTTGATAACTGTGCCATTTGCAGGAACCACATTATGGATCTATGTAAGTAAATGTTGGGGGACACAGTTGACAGTTTTGACTTGTTGTGTGATGCACAGCTGAAATGTCCCCAGGCTGAGGGTATAATTCAGCACATGGAGCTTTCAGTGAGTGAACTAAGTCTTCTCCTAAGATCTATTTTATGTAACACTGATGTCCTGTAATCTCTCTTTGTGACCTCTGCCACCACACTGCTTTTCCCTCACCCTTTCCTTGTAAAGTCACTTGATACCACACCAGTACGAGATGATGTTGTTGAGTGTATTTTGGAAGCAACAAAGAGGCAAAGGAGTAAAGTGCCACGAGGAACTGAAATTATTCAGTCAACAGGTATTGCTCACAATGATAGTTACTGGGTTTTAGAGTCATGAAGGTTGGTATGAGTGTCAACTTTTTGATGACACTCATTAAGATAAAGTCTCATAACACTCTGTGTCTGACCAGGAAAGACATGGACCAGCAAATTAATTTGATTCCTCACATGGACCAGCAAATTCATTTGACTCCTCATTCTACAAAACCTACCTTGCCTAACTGAGTTAGTACATGTTATAGTAGGGGGAATTTTTGTAGCCACCTAAAGAATTAATTGTTCATTTACAAAGGGGAGCAATAGAATGCCAAAATAAAAACCAGTGCATTTCTAGTATTGGTTTGAGGTTTTTTTTTTTTGGTATATAATCTTGATGGTTCATTTCTATCATGAAATGCATGAAGTCACTGATTTCAGTCCCTTAAACTGTTCAGTGCAAACCCCTTTTTTCCCCCCTCAAAACTGACAAGATAGTGTTGGCACAGTAACAGTCCACCTTGTTTCAGTTGTGAGGGACAGAAGGCCTTTTAATACACACCAGACAGAAATTTGCCTGTGTTACTAAAATATGAGAATGGTGGAAAACCCCAGAACAAGCACAGGTACAACTGCAGTGCCTGGGGATGGCCTGTCAATAGGCCTGTGTGAAAATAAAATGTTTCACCACCTAGTGAGAGATGCACCTGATTTGACATTGTATTTAACCAGTAACTACAAAACTATTTTAAGAAGTTTTGGTTTGGTTATTTTTAATAAAGAGAAAGCACACTATAACACACAGAAAAGGAGTTAACCAAGTTCACTTCTCTTCTTTGGGACAGGTGTGTTTGTATTTTGAGCCAGCTACTGCTTGTCCATACCCCAGTTTATTCTTGCTTGTTAGAAAGGGAATGACACTGGCACAGGTTTCTCAGGGACATGGTGGCTGCCCCAGCCCTGGCAGTGTTCAAAGCCAGGTTGGATGAAACCTTGAACAACCTGATCTAGTGAGGAGGTGTCCCTGCCCATGGCAGGGGGGGGGGACTAGATGATCTGTAAGGTCCATTCCAACCCCTAAATTCTATAATTCTGTGAGAACACTAAAGAGAACAGGGAGGTCCTGTGATGTATAGATTTCCTTTCAACTGCCTCTAACCTGCACTACCTTGGAAAGCAGTTTCTCAAGGAGGTGGACACTGGACTGCTACTTATTCTCTCAGGTCAGTGATCTATTGGAGAGGAAAAGATGTTGCTGACAGGCAAATGGAACTTCAAAGATTTGTTGAAACATAAAATACATTTATAGGATTTACAAATGTATAGAATAAATATATAAAATCCTGTATGCAGGATAATTATTCACAGTAAGTGGGATATGTTGTATGACAGTGGGTGCTGCTGTGTCTCATTCTATGAATCTATCTCAAAATTAACAGTGCCTTCCATAACAGACCAAATGCAGACTCATGTATTTGCTATGTTTTTATAAACAGCAAAGAGAACATATGGGGATGAAGGAGAGATGTGGAGGAGCTGGAAGGAGCGTGGACAGCTGTTAACTTTCCAGCAGTGAATTTCATTTATCAGGTCTTAAAAAACAAGTGTTTTAAAAAGTCCTACACAAATGTGTGTGGAGTTGAGTATATAGGTAGATTAGGAAAAACAGTGAAGGGAACAGGCATAGATAATTTTTTTTAGTTGCTCAAGCATGACATATTAATTTGTGTATCAGCAGTGTTATGAAAAGCCTGGACTGCAAATGACAGACCAAAATTGACAGTGTACAGAGTAGAAGGGATATCTAAATTGGTGTTCCGAGATCAGTGTTGGCTCTGGATTTACTTACTTCCTTGTTACAGATCATTAATGTTGTTAAACAACCCTTTAATTAGATTTTCAAACATAAGATGTGAAGTGATGGCAAATTGAGAAAAAATTAATAGAATATTCAGGCAAGAACAACACAAGATTCAATTTGAGAAAATGCAGGATACAAATGTCTCCCTCTCCTAGTGACAAAGAGAAACCATGACTGGGAAAACATTAGAAGAGTGATAAGTAACTCCAGCCATGCTAAGGGAAGTTTAGTCGCATTATAAAGTCAGGCATCAATGTCAGGGTGTCACAGAGTTCTCCTCATGCATGTGCCTTATGACTTGCTAATAATGGTCAAAGGATTCCCCCTGCCCTCAGTTTAGTTTATATTCAGTGTGCAGAAGGAATGAGCAGATTTTCAGTGTGCTTGTTTCATTCTTCTCTAGGAAGATCTAGGTCCTGTTTAGATTTTACATTAGCCTCTCTTCAAAGACTTGTTCCCTGGTGCTGTCACTGCAACGTGGGAAGTTGGGGCTGTCAACTAAGCACTGTGTTTAGTATATTGGTCTTCTGGTCTAAAATGTGGAATGTAAGGTGACTGGTATAGTTTTGAGCTGAGTAAAATGTGCCATCAAAATACTGTCCCCTTGCTTGGACAGCCAGATGCAAAGTACCACGTTTGATATTCCACTTTCACAAAGATGATAGAATCATAGAGTTTAAGGGTTGGAATGGACCTTAGAGATCATCTAGTCCCCACCCCCTGCCATGGGCAGGGACACCCCTCACCAGAGCAGATTGCTGAAGGCCTCATCCAGCCTGGCCTTGAACACTGCCAGGGTTGGGGCAGCCACAGCCTCCCTGGGCAACCTGTGCCAGTGTCTCACCACCCTTGTAGTACATCTAACCTAGACTTTCCCTCCTTCAGTTTGAACCCATTACCCCTTGTCCTATCACTGCAGTTCCTAGCAAAGAGTCCCTCTCTGGCTCCTTTGTAGGCCCTTCAGATATTGAAAAGTTGCTATGAGGTTTCCACACAGTCTTCTCCAGGCTGAACAGCCCCAACTCCCTCAGCCTGTCCTCATAGGGGAGATGCTCCAGTCCTCTTATCAGCTTTGTGGCCTCCTCTGGACTTGCTCCAACAGTTCCATGTCCTTTTTGTGTTGAGGGCACCAGAATTGCAATCAGTATTCCAGGTGGGGTCTCACCTGTAGTAGAGGGGATGGGGGAGAGTAGAGTAGAGGGGAAGAATCACATCTTGAAGATATAAATGTGTTGTATAGGATCCAGAGAAGAGTCTCAAGATGCTTAATAGGTTGAATGGTTTTGGATTAATGAGAAGAGTTAAAAGAACAGAACTAAGTGTATATACTTTGCCAAGTCAGGAGTGGAAGATGATAGCTGTGTACGTGTATTTTGGAAGAGTGATACTAACAGAAAATACTCAGAGTCATACCAGGGGGGTGTAAGCAGAAGGAATCATGTGATGATGTGATGTAGGGGAACTTATAACAAGTATTTAGTAAAATCTGCAGATAACTCCTAAGAAACTGAAGAGAATTGCGAGGGGAAAATTCTGAAGTTTGAAAAAGTAAATTGAAGAGCTCATTTTGCATTTTGGGAGACTAGGCTAGACTAGATTATTTTAGTTGGAAGGGACCTACAACAATCATCTGTTCCAACAGCCTGACTGCTTCAGGGCTGACCAAAACTTAAAGCATCTTAAGGGACTCTCAAACACTGACAGACTTGGAGTGTTGACCACCTCTCTAGGAAGCCTCTTCCAGTGTTGGCCCAACTTCTTGGTAAAGAAAGGCTTCCAAATGTCCAGACTAAACCTCCCCTGGTGCAGGTTTGCACCATTCCCATGCATCCTATCACTGGATACCAGGGAGAAGAGCTCAGCACCTCAGGGCAGCTGCTTCTCCTAGGACAAGTAGCAAGTGTCCTTAAGTTTATTAGCCTGGTTGTTTTTTCTGTCTGTTTTCTGTGTGAGTACACGATGTGTTCTGTTAGCCAAACCATGTGTACTTATTTCTCTTCTTCCCAATAACTCCATCCCTTCATGACAGTTTTAGGAGGCAGCACATAAAGAGAAAGGGGAATCCTACACAGTGGTTACCCTTGCTCAAGCAGAAACTGATTTGAAGAGCTCTTATCAAATTTAGCAGTGCAGTGGGCTGTTACTGTAGCTGCAGACAAAAGAGATGCCCTTTACCTCTGTTGCCTGCTGTTGTGGCTGCTTAAGTCTTCAGATGCTTTTCTTGTTAGGTGATTATACAGATGTCTGCAATAGCAAATGTATAGGAAGAGAGGTGGTTCTTACGATGCCAAGATTCAGAAGCTGTCATTATATAAGATGCATTTCTGTAACTCCCTGAGTTGAAATGCTTCCACTGCATCTTTCACAACTATTTACAGGTATTTCAGGTTTCAGCTGTGTCTTTCTGCCCTCACCTCCAGACACTCTGTCAAAAACAAGGCAACAGAAGAGTTGTTCAGTATTCCTCCAGTACCTGCTGCTGTCTGACTCTTACTGCTTCTTTTGGGTCAGCAGATGGTAAATAGCTTCTCTTTCCTTCAAGAGCCAGAATCATCAGCATTCACTGTCTGACAGAGATTGTTCATGTATTTTATTTCTTCGTTGATATATTGTCCTTTTCTGAACCGAGGCAAGTAGGAAACCAAATAGTGCATCAGCTTTTGAAAGGTCCTTTTTCTGGCAGCTAAGGCAGCAGTGCCAGCAGTAGTCTCCAGCCTGCTTGCTGAGGGAGTGAGATCTGGGTGTCTTGTTGGAAGGGCCTTACAGCACCACCAGAGAACTCCTCTTTAGCTATTTCCACACTGGCTCTGGATTTGGAGCCAGTTCATCTGTCCTCTTAAGATTTTTGGGGCTGTCATGCTTTAAACTGTATTTGCTTATCAGTGAATGTTTGAATAACACTGAAATGAATTTCAGTGCTGCTTCTCTTCCTTACCTAAACCACCTTTCTTCCCTCTCACTCCCAGGAAAACTGCAGATTCCTTTAAAGTCTGCCAAAAAAATTGTGTTCCAAAGCATACAGCTCACAGGTTAGGGCCACTCAGAGAGGGGAAAAAAATGAGAAAATGACATAAAAATGGGCAAGATGGACTTTATGTCCAATAT